GTGAGTTAATTCAGTTCAGTGATAGTTTGTTTTAAAAGTAAGTAATATTTTCTGTAGGGAGCTCAGAAATCGGATTGATATACTTATATAAGCCTTGGGCATCAGTCAATGAAGTTCAGCTTACCGGGGACCAAATTTTTCAAGAGCACTATACCTTTATGTTCTCTGGGACACCACTCACTACCATCAACCTGTACTACAATACTTAGGATTGTTGAAATATGCTGGAGCTCCTCTGCTGCAAGTGTTGACCCTAGGGATGTCACCTTTTGAATGTCGAGTTTGTGAATGTTTGAATGTCGAGAACACACCTTTTTGAGTGTGCGAGAGAGAGAGTGTGTGTGTGAGAGAGAGAGTGTGTGTGTGAGAGAGAGAGTGTGTGTGTGAGAGAGAGAGTGTGTGTGTGAGAGAGAGAGTGTGTGTGAGAGAGAGAGAGTGTGTGTGAGAGAGAGAGAGTGTGTGTGAGAGAGAGAGAGTGTGTGTGAGAGAGAGAGAGTGTAATTACCTAAGTGTAATTACCTAAGTGTAGTTACAGGATGAGAGCTACGCTCGTGGTGTCCCGTCTTCCCAGCACTCTTTGTCATATAACGCTTTGAAACTACTGACGGTCTTGGCCTCCACCACCTTCTCACTTAACTTGTTCCAACCGTCTACCACTCTATTTGCGAAGGTGAATTTTCTTATATTTCTTCGGCATCTGTGTTTAGCTAGTTTAAATCTATGACCTCTTGTTCTTGAAATTCCAGGTCTCAGGAAGTCTTCCCTGTCGATTTTATCAATTCCTGTTACTATTTTGTATGTAGTGATCATATCACCTCTTTTTCTTCTGTCTTCTAGTTTTGGCATATTTAATGCTTCTAACCTCTCCTCGTAGCTCTTGCCCTTCAGTTCTGGGAGCCACTTAGTAGCATGTCTTTGCACCTTTTCCAGTTTGTTGATGTGCTTCTTAAGATATGAGCACCACACAACAGCTGCATATTCTAGCTTTGGCCTAACAAAAGTCATGAACAATTTCTTTAGTATATCGCCATCCATGTATTTAAATGCAATTCTGAAGTTAGAAAGCATAGCATAGGCTCCTTGCACAATATTCTTTATGTGGTCCTCAGGTGATAGTTTTCTATCTAGAACCACTCCTAGATCTCTTTCTTTATCAGAATTCTTTAAAGATTTCTCACATAATATATAGGTTGTGTGGGGTCTATGTTCTCCTATTCCACATTCCATAACATGACATTTATTAACATTAAATTCCATTTGCCAAGTGGTGCTCCATATACTTATTTTGTCCAGGTCTTCTTGAAGGGCATGACAGTCATCTAAATTTCTTATCCTTCCTATTATCTTAGCATCATCAGCAAACATGTTCATATAATTCTGTATACCAACTGGTAGATCATTTATGTACACAATAAACATCACTGGTGCAAGAACTGAACCCTGTGGTACTCCACTTGTGACATTTCTCCATTCCGATACATTGCCTCTGATTACTGCCCTCATTTTTCTATCAGTCAGAAAATTTTTCATCCATGATAGAAGCTTACCTGTGTGTGTGAGAGAGAGAGAGTGTGTGTGTGAGAGAGAGAGAGTGTGTGTGAGAGAGAGAGTGTGTGTGTGAGAGAGTGTGTGTGTGTGAGAGAGAGAGAGTGTGTGTGTGAGAGAGTGTGTGTGTGTGAGAGAGAGAGAGTGTGTGTGTGAGAGAGAGAGTGTGTGTGTGAGAGAGAGAGTGTGTGTGTGAGAGAGAGAGTGTGTGTGTGAGAGAGAGAGTGTGTGTGTGAGAGAGAGAGAGTGTGTGAGAGAGAGAGAGTGTGTGAGAGAGAGAGAGTGTGTGAGAGAGAGTGTGAGAGAGAGTGTGAGAGTACAATTTAACCTACCGTATTTGCCAGCATGTAAGATGTAACTTTTTTTTATTTTTAAACGTATCAAAAAATTGCTTTGTCTAATGCTGCCGTATTATGGATATAAGACCGAGCGCCATAGGTTAGAGAGCCAGAGTTCGCTAGGCACAAAAATTGTTGCTAATAATAAAATATTGAAAACAAGCAGAGTTATCCAGGTCTGTTATCATAAACTTTAGAAAAATTGCATAAGATGCGTTGACAGTTTTGAAGAAAGCTCGCATCATCTCACCACCTTACCCAACATACATAACCCACACCTGATATATATATGTGATACATTATTTAACGACTGTGTTACCTTTAAGACACACTTATTCATTATCTAAATGAAAAATGAAATATTAATTTGAAAGGAATGTTCAACTTTCATCTGCCTGTCAGGCATTTGCAATGAATGAATGACAACAAAACCAGAACGCTGTTATGGTGCATCACGACCGGGTGTGTCACTCTGGTGGCCTGATGTGGCAACACACAACATTACATCCAGAAATTCAAGTTTCACATCCTGTATAGCAATTCTCTTACTCAAAATATAAAGAACTAGACAGCTGATCTTAAGGAGGTAAAAGTTGGGGCACAAAATCCACATAAAAATATCTTTCAGTACATGTCTATGATGAAACATACTAAAGTAGTTTTTTCCCACAAAATATCCTTGTAAAGGGAATGCGTCCTATGCGATTGTGCATCTTTGAAACTGGCAAATATGGTATTTGCAAGCACTGACAAATGAAACATGAAATTAACAAAAATAAAACACTGAAATTTTAACAAAGTCAAGACATTTAGCTTAATAAAATTAAATGCTACACTTTATATACAAGCCATTACATTCATACATAATTGTTTGATGCATACCTTGAGAGAACTGTTTACAGTAATAGTGTCCTAAAGCAATGATCAGTTGGCTCACAAGCAAATAGTTCTAAGTTTGATCACCAGGCAGGACATTGCTGTGTTGTGCTAAATACTGTTTTGTTGTGTTTTCCTCCTCAGTGTGTGAAAATCGTGCTGAGAAGGTGATAAAGAAATCGGATGAAGATCATCAACAACCATTCAAAGATTGTATGACGCAGTTTATTGTCAAAGGTGAGTTAATTCAGTTCAGTGATAGTTTGTTTTAAAAGTAAGTAATATTTTCTGTAGGGAGCTCAGAAAATCGGATTGATATACGTTATATAAGCCTGGGGCATCAGTCAATGAAGTTCAGCTTACCGGGGACCAAGAACCAGAACCTGGCCCCCTCAGAGAGGCATAGGGAGCCTATGCAAACCCCCCATGTGTTTGGGAGCATTCCATGTCTGCTGTTGCAATCCGCTCTCGCACAAGACAGTACATATGACTTTATTGCTTATAGTCAATATTTGACTTATTAATAAGTACATGTGTGTCATATTCCAAGTTATATTTTGTTTTCACGGTATAAACTCTTCCTATAGATTTGTAATACACCAGTTTTAATATTAGGAATGTCTTTTTCAGTTTTATTAAGCAATAGAGATTTTATAACAAATTTGACAATATCCGGAGTTACTTTACAATTTATTTAAATATTTTGGTTTTGTTTTATTATTTTTATAAAACTGTAATATCAATATAGGTATAGGGTTAATTACTAATTGTAATTAAGAAGCAATAAGGTGCTTATTTTAACATACTAAGGAGGTTAGGTTAGGTCGGTGTTTTCTATTCAACTTTTCAAGGTAAACTCAAATATTCACAATAAATTAGTATGTCACATATGCACTTATTAATAAGCCAAATATTGACTATAAGCAAGTGCGAGAACGGGTTGGCTATCAACCAGGGTTAGGCACCCAGAAAGGTAGGCATAACAAAACAGACCCCACTTGGTAAGAATTTGCAACTAAAGACTGATCAGAGAGGCAGAACTACCAAAAAACTTAGAAACAAGCAAACGTCATACACCGCCGCTGCACCGCTGGTCCGCGCAGCCCTTCCCTCCCTGGGAGGAGGAAGGAAAGGGGGGAGCCCCGAACATCCCCTACGTTGAGTACTCGCACCTTCAGTTTGTAGGCTGATGCTCTCCTGGCAGTCGTCAACTCTGGCCTCGATTTCTTGGCAGATCTTGTACCTTCGTGGTGTTTCCTGCTCCTTGTGGTGTCCAGGAGTAACTACAGTGTACTGGGGGCTGCATACGCCTAGGGCTACCTTCCCTAAGCAAGGAAAGTCTAGTAAAGTACTACACTAGAGTTCTATGGTTACCTTCCATAGAGCCTTCTGGATTCCACTTCCGTAGGAGTTTTTGTTGCTTGGCATTTACCCTGCCCTTGGGGCCAGCTGGGGTTTAGTGGTCTTTGTTTGGCCTTGGGTAAGAAGTGTTGTTGCTGGTTGGGGCACAAGGTGCTGTGCTGTTCGCTTACCTACGAGGCGGCTGTTCCTGTTACTTCTAGTGGTGTGTTACTTTTGTAGGGTTTTTCTTTTTTGTTTTTCTTGCCAGGAGGGGGTCTGCCTTGTTTGGCTATCGGTCCTCATAGGGTATATTAGTGGCCCTGCTCTAGGCCCCCGTGCTTGTATACGTCACAGGGGTCCAGTTATTATCTCGTCCCCCTTTGTTAGCTTTTGGGTTCAACTGGCTAGACATACCTTGCCTGGGCTTCCCGTAGAAGACAACTCTATGGGCCCCTGAAAACCCCCGGCAGGGCTCGGTTGACCGATGGATGTCTTCTGAGTTCTAACTCACCTTGTGCAAGTTTGAAAATTGTTCTGTGCCCTTGTCTCAGGGTGTCAGTCACCTGTTTTGCCTCTGTCATGCTTCTTGTTGGGTCAATGACACCTTTGACTGGAACCTTGCGAGACGTGTTCTATGCTCGTGCTCCAGTTTACATATTCTATTGTCACTGAGATTTAAGTTCAGGCGGCAACCGCATTGCATGTCAAGTTTATGTTGCTGCAACGTACTAGATTGGTTGCCTGCTTGGATGCCCCAGTGCTGTCCCGTTTTGGTTAAAGGGACCTGGATTTGGGGGTTGTTAGTCACTTCGATTTTGGTTCTATCCACGCCTGCAAGTCCTTACCAAGTTGGCGTTGTTCGCCCTGTTCCTCCCCCCCTCCCCTTTGCTCTCAGCTCCC